TTAATAATAAAATAATAATTTATATAATTATCATTATTAAATTAATAAATAAAATAAATTTCAATTATACCTTAAATAAATGTATGATACCTGCATTAAGTGGTTAAAGGTGTGATATTGTATTAGGTGGTAAAAAATGTACTTTAATATGAGTAAGTAATTCAGGATTGTTAATAGCATGTGTTGGTGCATTATCTACTAGAAGAAGAATTTTTCTATTTTCGCGATATATTTGAATATTAAGTTTTTTCAAAAAATCATTCCATATTGATACTTGCATCCATGCTGTCTTATTCCAATAATATTATATAGTAAATTTTCTTTTTTTTTACCAAAAAGAGTACGTGAATTTTCATAATGATGAATAAAAAATGGAAGAAGTTTTTTTGTTCCATTAGCATTACATATTAATATAACTGTAATATGATTTTTAAATTTTTTTATTCCTGAAATAGGACCATTTGCTAAGGTTTTAGATGATTCTAATTGCCAAAATAAAGCTAAATAATAAAATTATTAAATTATTAAATTTTATATAAATAATATAAATAATTAATTTTAATTACCTGTTTCATCACAATTATATACATTTTCAAGTTTATATTCATTAATAATATTTTGAAGTTTTATTCTTTCATCATCTAAAGTATCAAGTAAAGCACTACGTGATTTACTCACCTTTGTATATTGTTGAATATGATGTCATTTTTTAAATTCTGAAAGCTAACTATCTGATGCAGAAAATTTTTCTATATTGAGCAATTGTGCAAAAATATATGCTTTTGCTTTTAAAACATCTCCTGTAATTGTTTTATTTGCAGAAAGTGCTTGCATAAACCAAATTGCTAAAGAACTTTCAATTTCAGGATAAGCAGATACACGAGTTCTTTTTCTCAAATTATTAAATTCAGTATTAGTTTCAATCTATTTTGTTTATCTCTTAAAATATCTGAGATAGTATTTTGTTTAACTCCATATATTTCAGCAAGTTGTTTTTGTATTGGTTGTGATTTTGTTCATATTTTAAACAAATTTTGCACTTTTAAGCAAATAATAATGTAATACGAGTACATTTAGTAGTAATGTTTTCTTTACTATTAAAGTGTTTCTTTTTTGTAAAAGAGCTATTTAATAAAATATTTAAAATTTTCAACACGTTAAAATATAAATTTAAATTTGAAATACACAAAATACAAAATTGGTAAAATTAAATACCTTGTGATCATGATCATTTATTTTTTTAAAAAAATTATCAGAGTTATTTTAAAAAAAATTGTAATCTTTAACACTTTTTAAAATCAGCTTTTCTTAAAAAAAACTATAAAAGTTTAAAAAGGTTATTAGGTTATCTTTTAAAAAGTTAATCAAATTGACTTTTATAAAAAATAAATTAACTGGATTTTCTTTAATAAAATCCATCGGGTTGTGCTTATGTAATAAAAAAGATGTTTGTTATCTTTTGAAAAGAGGATAATTGAAGCTTTAAAAAAAATGTATAAAAGTTTAAAAAAAAATCTATCGGGTTATGCTTAAGTAATAAAAAATTGTTAGTTACCTTTTGAATCAGATTGCTTTTGAAAAAAAATTAACTGGAATTTTTTTAAAAAAAAAATTCATTGGTATTGCTTATATAATTAAAAAGGTTAGGTTCTTTGAAAAAAAAAGGTTAATTGTGTTGTTTTTTTGAAAAAAAAATTCAGAATTTTTTTTTAAAAAAATATCTATAAAAATTTTAGAAAAAAAATTCATCAGGGTGGTATATACAATTAAAAACGTTAGGTTCTTTTAATAAAAGATTAATCAGGTTATTTTTTTAAAAAAAATTAACGGAATTTTTTAAAAAAAAAAATCTATAAAAAGTTTAAAAAAATACATCCAGGGTTGTTCAAAAAAAAGGTTGTTAGGTTACCTTTTGAAAAAAGGTTAATCGGGTAGTTTTTTGAAAAAAAAATCCATGAATTTTTTTTTAAAAGTAATTAAAAATTTTCCCTGATGTTCAATATGCTATTTACATTTTTCTCACTGAATATACATGCATTAAAAAAATTAGGAGAGAAAAATATTTTGTGATAATTTTTATACTAAAAAAAAAAATTTTTTTTACACTGCATCATAAATTACGTGATGTTGTATATCATTCTATATAAATTTTATATCATTATATGTGAATATCATTATAACGCGATACTAATTTATATTAGAAGTATATGTAATATCTATCGTAAAATAAAATAAAGAGATTTATTAATTAAAATTGATATATAAAACTAATTTAATTATAATTATTTTAGGCAAAAGATTTTTTATCATTATAAGACATTATCGTTATATAATAGCATCGTTATATCCAACCTTGACTGTATATGTATATTAAGGTTTATTAATTTATCAATTTAAACAATATATATTAAAATATCTATTAGATTTTGATGATTCAAAAAATGAAACAGAACTTATTTGTTAGATATTTCTATAAAAATTCAAAGATGAGTATTTAATTTATAGTAAATTAGGTTATATTAAATGACAAAAACTTTATAATGTATAAAGAACACATATATTATGGTTATTAGATTGAGAAAATTTATTAGTAATAAGTATTAAATATAACAAATTTACATTATGAATCTAAAATATATAAAAAATATGATGGATTAAGAAATAATAACCATTTTCATGATGTAATTAGCACAGTATATTTTTTATAATTATTAATAAACTTTTAAACTATATATAATATTTATTATATTAATATTATTATTTTATTTAATTTTTAGTCACGTGCAAGTAAAAAACTTTTAAATATACTATAAAATAGTATATTCAAGATGATAAATTAGTTCAACTTTTAGAAAATAATAAATTAAAAACTTTATATAGAGATGCAATTTAAAATTCAAATAAGAATAAAATGTGATCAAAATTATTTGAATATAGAAAGAAAAGTGCATTTAAAACTAATAAAACGTTTAGTAAACTAGTAGAATTAATGTGACAAATTAAAGATATGAAAAAAGCAAAAAAAAATTATGATATTCTGAACATCTTTACCACTTTTTAGTTTATTATTAGATAGTAGTAGAGAATATAGTATATTTCATAAATATTAGGAGATAAGGATCCATGATCTATAAGGTAATAAATTATTTTATTATATTGATTTTAATATATAAGAAAAATATTAATACTAAATTATTTCATAAGTATGATTACATAATTATTTTAAAAAGAAAATTTAATATTTTAAGAAATAATATCAAATAAAATGCTTAATAAATTTAATAAATGATAACTTAAAATATAGGAAAATTTATAAATTTTTATTAGCTTTTATTCTTATTTTATAATTTATCAAATTATCATATTTTTTTTTTTGAATTTGTTATATTGAGAATCTTTAAAGGCTAAAAGTGCATCAGGAATGGAGACAGATTAATTCAGATTTACGAAGAGAAGAAATCTAAAAGGATAAGTAATAATGATATTTTTGAACGTAATGATGCCCAACCTTTGATTTGGATGAAAAATTCATTTCACAAACTGAATGAATTTGCAGTAATTGAACATTTCTTTGCAAATATAAATGAATCTTGGGATCAATTCATTATTTTTGATTATTTTAAAATCTTAACTCTTACATTCGTGTCCTAATTTACTAAACTAATATATATTAACTATTACAATAACTAAATTTTATCACACAATTACCATTTACAGAAAACTAAACCCTTTTTTTTACCTAAAAGGAAATTAACAAATGTCATATCCCAAATGTTTAATGTCTACTTCCTATGTATTATGATTAATCTAACAAAACTTCCCTTCTTTTGAAATCCTCAACGATCACTCTTAAAACTTGTCTCAATAAAGGAACGTGATACGGTATTTCATTATAAGGAGTGTAATGATCAAGCTTCTCCGGCGTAACAAGCTCCAAAGTGTCATAATTCGCATTTATGATTGCTATAACCCACAAAAGGAAATAAGTAAATACCTTTTTCATACAGTAAATTATATAAATAAAATTTAATAACAATTTACTTACAATAAACCTTTATGTCAAGCGCGTTGAAAAAATAATATGGTCATCCTTAGTAATCATATCAAGAGTGATTTTGCAAGTTTAAAACCTATATTAGAAAATTTTTACCAACCTGTTCAGGAGTTATTGATTTCACTCTATTAGTTAATTTCCATCCTTCAATTTTTAAACTGAAATGTGTACAAATGGTATTTATATTTGATAAAACATCAAATTGTGATGATGACATAGGTTTTTGAAATGCAGATTTAGTTGGACTTCCAAGCTTAGTGAAATTCGTCTTATTAACTACAATCAGGAAATAATCGATCAATTGATTACAAAGTATATTGGTTAAATGCTACATATATACACAATTATAACAGATCGTTACCTATACTACTTAGACCATCAAACGTTTCTTTTGCTCTTATTATTTCGTAAAATAAATTATCGTAGCTAATGGGATCTGGGAAGAAAGAATCACCAAAGGTAACACTTAGATTAATAATATTTATCGCAGAAAGTAAAACTTCATTTACTGAATCTCGATCCTGTTGAAAGTATTCAATGTTTGAAAGTATGAATTTCAATAAGCCAATAAGTGATTGCCATATTTCTGACCAATGATACGCTGTGAAAATTCCGAAAAGTAGGATGTTAAATCGAAATAACTTATAAGAACCATATGTATATATTTATTTTTTTTAAAAAAGAATAAATTATACTTACGCAATCTGACGCAATTCTTTTTGAGATATGACATTATTCGATGAATGACGCCTAAGGACATACTGCATATAATAATATAAAAAGTTTAACGCTTTATGAACCAATGCATCAAGGTTGTTTACCTACTTACCTATATAAATCAGTCTGTAATTTTCTTCTCAAATTATGATTTATGAACCCAATAACGACATCCAATATAATGCCAACTAAAGGACGTGGAAATTTTGCATTTTGCAACAAAGGTGGCCTCTACATATTAACGAAAAGTATTAAATAAATAAATAAATAAATACTACAAGTCAAATTATTCAAACTATATTTATTAGAAACTTACTTGTCTGCAAAGTCTAACAATAAAACGCCGTTCATCTTCACATATAACCTTATTAAATGTCGAATCCTCAACTAATATTACCAGTATCAATAATATTACATTCGCATAACTTGCCGTACGGTTAGTACGATTGTGTTGTAAGATATATGACGAAATTGAAAGAAATTCACAAAAATATGGACCATCTATGAGATAAACATCATAAGTAATCTATATATGTATGCTATTCACGAATGGTCAATTAACATTTTATATTTTTGTTATACCTCGAACCATTTCTATAGATTCTTTGCCATTTTCAGTGGCAATGGTCGTGGAATCACGCCCGTTGACTTTGGACTCTGCGGAAATTGGAAATTTTACAATGGATTTTGCTAGATGATCAACAAATCGTTTGTTATTATTCAACAAATCATAAAATACCAAAATAATTGAAACATTCGCAGATGGCCTATATGTCATTACGTGTCATACATGTGTATGATAAAACTTGTGATAAGTGCAAGAAGAAATTGTAATTCTTTAATCAACATAATAATGAAGAACTCACAATCTAACAAATGCCAATTCCGGATCCGAAACATTTGAATGTTTCTTTGTTCCATTGCCAGTCCAGGATAAAATGGATCCAACATATGATGCAAGGGATGAAACAAAATATTTGTTAGCCTCATCATCATCCTGTATATCAATATACTTGCTAGAAAGAAAATAAAAATACAAATTAAGTATAGAATTTATTAGAAAAAATAAACCGTTCTAAAGATAACTAATAAATGAATACCTTCGACAATTGACACAAGTTGTTGCCAATACATTCATAATTTTCTGTAAATGTAAATAAAAGATCAAACTGATTAATAGCAAATTATTTATACACGAATGGCCTATACCCTTTTGATATACAATTACCTCAAACACGGCCTCATTTTTAAGATTGATTAATTTTATCAAATAAGGGTTCTTCGATTCGTGCTTATTATAATTTGCCAGGATGTCCAATAGCATAATGGCTTCATAAGCTACGTGTGATGTTTCCGGCGCAAGCATTATCTTTTTAATTAAGGGAGAAGCATATGAGTAAAATATTTCAAACACTATCATAAACAAGATGCGATGATAAAATACATTAATTAAGGGATCGAAAATATCGTCTTTCATGAAATACCCATTTAAGCTATTCTGATTGATATTACTATTTCCGCATACAACCACAATGGTCAATCTTAATGCATCATACTTGACTTGCGCTAAATATAAAAATGTCAAAATCGAATCAGTTATGATATAGGAATAAATGTGATTTACGTAAGATATTTCAACCTGTCTCTCCATCATTCATTAAACACTTGATTGCATCAACAAATTTCTAAAAAGAGAAATTTTGGTTTAAATAAAAAAAATAATGATAATTTATCAGCGAATAGAATTATTGTCTCTGATATCTCACTTACTGGGAAAACGGTATCGGCATTATTTAACCCGGTCAAGAGATTAATAACTTCAAAACTGAAATTATTAAATTTCTTGGAGAATATTCCTTGAAGCAACGCACAAAGTGTCTAAATAACGATTTATTTCATTAATGCATGTAATTACATAAAATCAATGCTTAATTTGGCACTTACGTCAATAGCATTTATTTTTCTCTGAACGTTTTCTTCTTTCATGGTTTCAATTGATTTTAAAAATAATTTGCTAATATTATTCTAAAAATGATCAGTCAATAATTGATCTAAATCAATCACTACAACAAATCTCCTAAAGCTTTTACTTACTTTGATAGCCAACAATTGGTCCTGAGAAATATCGGAAAGACATTTTAATAAATACACTACATTAACTTTAAGCAAAAATAATTCGCTCCAAAAATTTGGCTGACCCGCGGATGGATCATTACCCTAGATGATTTGGTTAAAATGTTGGTTAGATCATACTATAAAATGAGATAAATTAATGAATAAGGAATTTAAATTATATCCAACCTTAAAAAAACTCTCATAAATTTCTACAAATTTTTCTTTTAATACGGTTTTTGCTCCATAAGCAGGTCTAATGATACCAGTAAACTCCGTTTTCGTTGGTGACTGCATTTTTTAAACTATTTTTATATATTTATATAGCAAAAATGATAAATAAAAAGAAAGTGTAAAAAAGAGAGGGGTTAAAATTTTTTCGGTTTGATTATCAGGCTATGTTAAATTTTTTAAATATAGAAATTTCTGAGCCACATGGCTATGCGAAATTTTTCAAAAATTTTTATTTTTTAAATTTATTTGCATTGTACGATCACGCCATGTGAAGACGTCGATTAAAAAAAAAACCTGTAATTCTGCGGCAATTATTTTTTGACAAATAGAAAAATCAAAAACAAATACCTTTTTTTGTCAGGACTCAGGTGACAAGAATGCTTACCAAATAAAGTTTTAAGGATAATAGCATATCAGGAAATGTGTCTCATTATTGAATCTGTGATTGAATGCGAAACAATTACACATTGAAGAACGAACCTTGATAAAAATGACTCATAGCTAAAATGGCGTGTGTTGGCGCAGGAACGGTAATGTTATATAAACTACCGATCATACCTATTTTCCATCAAAAAACAATAATATAATCAACTATTTATTAAATATGAGGCGAAGCGAACGTTTGAAGAACAAGTCATGCAAAGACAAAATAATACGTTTTTATCGTTCAAGACTAAAATGGGGGGAATTCAGTAATTTTTATGAAGCAGAAATTTTAATAGATGGAGAGACTTGGCCAACAACTGAGCATTATTTTCAAGGTAAAATATTTTTTAATTTGGTAAATTTCCCATTTCAATATTTCAATTAATACCATTTTTTTTTTTTTTTTTTTTTTTTTTGTATCAGCTCAAAAATTTCCATCAAATCCTGAAGTTCAACAACAAATCAAAGATTTCGCAAAACCTGGATTAGCAGCCAAATACGGACGTAAAGCCCAAGGCCTGCGCCCAGATTGGGAACAAGTTAAAGATGATGTTATGCGTACGGCTTTAAAAGCCAAATTTACTCAACATCAAACATTAAAGAAATTGTTATTGAGCACAAAAGATGCTAAATTGGCCGAAGACTCACCGACCGACAGTTATTGGGGTACTGCTACTCGGAAAGATGGAAGTAAAGGTTTTAACAAGTTGGGACTTTTGCTGATGGAAATTAGGGAAGAGTTGAAAGCAAACGAACAAGAACAAGAAAATGATCAAGCAAAATTGTAGTAAAAATTGTCTTTTTAGCAGAAGGTTGGTCAATAATATCATTAACTTAACTTCCCAAATTTAAACTTGTATCATAAAGTGCGCTTATTTTTAAAGAATTTTTCATGTATTTGCACATGAAAGTCAAACATTTATTTAGGTTACCATGAATGTTGAACTCTATAAAAAAAAAATTCCCAGATATTTATTCTAAAGTGTTCTCTATTTTCCTAGTGAAATGAGTAACGATATGTCCTTCTTTTTATCAATAATAAATTAATTCTCCCAACATTTTCTTTGTATTTTCATTTAATCTTCTAGTTCGATTTTTCTGCGCCGATTAATGAAATAAGCACTTTTTTTTTTGAAGTCTGGGATCTAATGATATTTGATTTATGTATTACACACCATTAAGGAGATCAGTAACAGTTTCATGTAATATCCAAGGGAATTTTTGTTACGATGAATGTTCAATCGACAAGGGAAATATCTATATAATACGTCGGGTCATAAGAACGAGATAATCTCCTTTTGAGTCGATCTTTCTTTATATTGATAACGATAATGTTTCTTGCGTATTATCCATTTCTCTTTAAGAGGAAATATGCTTCAATCATTAGAATTTTCATCACATTTATAGGGAATAAAAAAAATGACGAAATGACTAATTGTTTCGAATTAAAATTTTGGCTTTTTTGATGAAATCATTCTTTACAATATTAAAGACCGTACTTTTGTATTTCATTTCTTTTTTAAAAAATTGTTTACGTTAACGCATTAGAAAATATTAAAGGGTTTGACACGTAAACCGCAAAGGTTTTTTAAAATCATTTATTTTTTAATGTATGTATAAAATATTTTTTATTAGACATTAAAAACAGAATGCCTGAAGTATCAGAGAAAAAAAAAAAAATTTTTTTTTCTTTTTATTATGATTTCTTAAAAAGGAACGTGAGATTTTAAATTTATAGTTTCGGAAAACCACGATTGTAAAAAAAGAGTAAAGATGGATTTATTAATTCTTTCATTAAGTGATGATGGGACGTTCATGGGTAATTACTTAAATAGAAAAATAATGCAAGGGCCCATGAATTGGAATTAACCTGTAATAGCGCCTTTACTCCTTGTTTCACAGATTTTTTCGTTCACCATTAGATAAGATAATAACGTCGTTCATTTTTATTTCAACAATCAATTTTTCTTCCTTCTTTCAACATACAGTGTGAGAAAAAAAAGAAAATTTTTTTTTAAAAAATTTTTATTTTATTTTATTTTATTTTTTTTTTTTTTTATATCATTCGTCGTCATCATGATACAACTTTTAGCCATTTGCCGGGAAATTTATCTTGTAAATCCGAAAGACGGAAAATATCAAACATATAATTCAGATGATTGGATTACAACTACAGCGGCGACATTACTTCCCTCAAGTCGTAAAGTTTATATCACGACATCATTTAATAATCTTTGGGAAATTTCTTTAGATAATAAAGAGGCAAGGAAGATTAGTTGGGACGGGTGGGGAACTTGTAACGCTTTGGTGGCGGTGCCAAATGGAGGAGATAAATTGTTTGCATTCTGTCACAAACTTTGGTTAATCGATGATCCAAGTACGGGTCATTGTGTGGATTTTCTAGGAGGATTTACGGACGTTTGGACAAGAGTTAATGCTGCAGCGATTGTAGGTCAAAAGATTTTTGCCACCACTTCGGCAAATAACTTATGGTGCGTTGACAGCACTGGTAAGGATGAACCAAAGAAATTGGGAGGTGGCTCGGATAATTGGTCAACCTGTAGGGCTTTGGTCCAAGTTGACGGTAAATTGATCGCTTTTTGTTATGGATTATGGGAGGTTAACATTCAAAATGGAAAGAGCACACCTTTTTTTGATGACAAATCTGATGATTCTAAAAGATCTTGGTCAAGTGTAAAGTCTGCTACCGTTATTGGTCATAACGTTTACGTCGTGGACGGATCTCAATTGCTTGAATTAGATACCATTCATAAGAAAGTTAGAGATGTTGGTAACGATAATTGGGGAACCATTAGAGCCATAGTTGCTGTTGATATTTAATCATTTTTCATTTATAATTTCCTCGTAGTAATTGTCGGAAAATAAATTTGGTTTTTCCCATTTCAAGTCTAGGTTCTTTTGCTTTGTTACGCTTGCGCCAGTGACCAATTAAACACAAACACAGTTACTAAATAATCTCAAAATCAATCTAAAATCTAATAATCTAATAATGATAATAATGATAAACAAATATTTGTTATATTTATTGGGAATGGATGATCAAAAATTAAATCAAAAATTCTATCAAGATGTGAAACCATTTTTTATTATTATATTGAAAAAAAAGGTGCAAAGACCCTAGCGAAAAAAAAAAGAAAGGAAATTTAATAAGCAATTAAAAAACAATAGAACATTGTTCAGAAATTTTACTAATAAAAAATTTTCGATTTTTAATTTACCCCAATTTAAAAAAATTGTGATGTACGTTTCGGATCTTTTTTCCCGTAATCTTTTGATGTTTTTGGAAGGTAGTACCTTTTTCTGGGTTTAACATTAACCCGGATAATCTTTACCCTATGGTTTATCCCAATTAAGAACAAATCTCATAAAAATGGACATCATTATGTGATTATCGATTTTTGAACATGGGTTAGGGTTAATAACTAGTTGAAAATCAGGTTCAAACCACAAAAATAAAATACCGGTCGATGAGTTGATTCCAAGGAGGCGTATTTAAAATATTTCAGAGTATTCCATCAATTACCTTGATAATTTCAATTCTTGAATCTCCCTTCCAAGATGCATCTAAATCTCCAATCATAAAACATCAAAGGAACGAACTATTAATCGAACGGAACGGAACGGTTCGGTTCGGTTCGGTTTGGATAGAAAAACGATTCTAATTTTACGGATCAAAATTTTTCCAATCCGTACCGAAAGTTTTCGGATGTGATACGAACCTTTCGGAGTCGTTAGATAATTTTTTTTGACAAATATAAGAAAAGAAATTACACAAAGATACTTATGTATCTTATGAGTTAATTTACTTTAATACGGTTTCAATTCCGTACTTGGTGCGTAAGGCGAAGTTTGTTAAAGACAACTTATTATCACATCAAGGAACTTTGCTTCCGCACGTAATTCTCAAATCGTTTTTTCGATTTTTTATCTTGTTCAATATTTTGATTTTAACTTGAGGATTCCCCACAACGAAAGAAAACCAAATTTTCACGTTGAGTTTGCACATAAGATGAACTATATTTTATTGCCTTTATATACATGTATTTTCATCATTAGTTATCTGCGCAATGTTTGATTATGTAATTTTTAAATATAGATTATCTGAACGACCAAGCTATCCAAAAAAAAAAATAAGAATGAATGCACATTTATGATTTATATTGCCAGGAAGAAAGGCAAAGGATCTACCATAATGAAACAATGAAAGAATGAAAGGAAAAAGGGATATCAAAGTTAAAAAAAAAAAAATTTTTTTTTTTTTTTTAATATACTCTGCTTTTTCCATTTGTAATGGCAAATTACCGATGATAAAATTACCAAATCGAGAATGTCAACAAAATATAAATTTGAAAGAGGAATTTAAATAAGTTGATTAGTAAATTTTTTTTTTTGAAAGATTCTTTCAAGACATTCCTTTAATTGTCGTGTTTCTAAATTTGGAATCAAATGAAAGGACAATGATGTTATAAAAAAAAATTCGCTATGCAGAAAAAATAGATCATGTTTTCTTTTTCTCTTAAATCTTAAAATCAAGTGAGACGTTCGTGTCAACATTAAAAAAATCATCATCGTCAAATAAACAAAAAAAAATTTTTTCCATTTTTACAACGCTACCACAAATTTTACAATGGACCCGAGATTAGAATTTCACCGAATGCATAGTGAAATAAATAGCCCCATTAAACCGAGCCTTAAAGATAGCAATTACGAGGATAACATAGTTCAACCACAATCATTGCTTAAAGCGGCTATAATACGTCATCAATCCATCGCACCCGAACAATCCGAGTCTTGTTGTAATATTAAAATCGTCAAAGAATTGAATGGATCTTCGAGCAAATACAATTATGAGATTATTCGTTGTTCAAAATCTAAAAGTGAAAGTGGAAGGAAATCAACCTTTTTTTATAAAGTGTTTAGCCAATGCAAAGTTATTTGTGGAAAAGGAAAAACCAGTTATACAGTGACTGCTAGATGCAATGTCAATAAAAAGAAGGTGTGATATAATTTTATTTATTTACTTTTTTTTCCTTTCCTATCTTTTTGTTTTGATTGATATGTTTACTTACCTAAATACATTGTGTATGTGTATAATAGGTTGTGATTAAACGCGTTGACAAGGTAATTTATAATTTTATTTAAATTTATATATTGTCTCGAAAACTAAATGAATTTTCTTGAAAATTAGGACAAGCTTAAAATCCCGGATTATTATAAATCTCCATGCTTTAGTCCTTCGAACTGCTCATGCGGTGAATGCCTATACGCATCACAACCATCGCCTCCATCTTCGGTAACTGCGACTACGTGGACAGGTTCAAATCTCAGTAATAATTCTCCGCCAACTTCAATTCTTAATAATTCATCTCAACTCTCAATCCACAATGGTTATTCTCAAACTTCATATTTCAATAACTCCCCAAGCGATTCAATTCTTAATGTGGGTACCCCTCACTCAAGATCATCTCCACAATTTAATAAACCGAAAAAGGCTCCTTCCGTTACATTTGCGTCATCCGCACCATCTTGTGAGATGCCTTCTACCATTCCTCAATCTTCTTCTTTAGAGACTTCTTCTATAGTCGCTAGATCATCAACAATCGCTTCATCTATTAAATCGAATTCTTCGCACTCTTCGATTTCCGTACAACCACCTTCCATCCATCCATCACATATTGATTTGATACCCATCGAATTACAAGCTTTATATTGTAATTCGAATGATTATTTACCTGCCTATATAAATTATTTCGTTGATGATAGATATTATTATTACATTACCAAGAATCATGGCGTTAGACAAAGGAAGTTGAAGAAACCTTCTAGTTGGTTCAAAAAGAAATATTTTGATGTTGATTGGGTTACTTATGTAGCCAATTAGAAACAAAACAAAGGGGATTCAAAAGCAAGATTTTTTGATCTTTTCAATGTTCGGCTACTTTCACTCGGTCATAGGATTCCAAATTATTACCTTTTTTTTTTTTAAAAAAAAATTCAAAAAAAAACAATTTTCCCCCCCAAAAAACTTTATAATTAAAATAATTAATAATTTTTTTTTACCGTTTACTTTTTACATATATTTTTAATAGTATTAATATTAATATTTTTTTATTTTCAAATTTCACGTAAAAAAAAAAAAAAAAAAAAAAAAAAATTATAAAATAAAAAATAAAAAAAAAATATTGTATATTTTATCCTGTAAAACTTTGGCTTAAAGCCACTATTTTTATTTTTATTTTTTTTTTTCGTGAATATTTATTTATTTTATGCTCACAAAACCTCAAACTAAATTCTCTTCGTGGAATAAATTGTAGTTATAAGGCGCGCATAAAATTTTTTTTTCTTTTATTTTTTTTTCACAGTTGGTAAAAAAATTTTTAGGCGTCGTTGCCCTGAGCGAAGCGAAGGATTATATATTTCTGTGCATTTGAGTAAATTTTGGTCATGTGAGCGTTTCTCTGTCCGCCACGTGTTTTCGTCCAATAATTCGCTCAGGACTCACAACGATCAGTGATAGATATTTTTACCTATATTATTTACCTGTTTCGCGTGAATTCTGATAGAAAAAAAGTGATTAATAAATCAATCGACAAGGAGGATTCATTTCAATTCAAAAAAAATAAGCAAGCTCGAAAAAGATTTGTTTTTTTGTTTATAAAATTTTTTTACAAGTTTTTCTGATGTTTTATTGAATTACATTTGTGTACACATAATATTCCGAAAAAGTTTGGCCAAAACCCTTTGGAATGCATAATTTCGATCGAATGATTGATTGAATAAACAAAAAAAAAAGTGAAAAAGTAAAAAAGAAAAAAAATAAACTGTTCATATATACAATGCTAGCTTGAGGGAAAAAAAAAAAAGAAAACGATTCATAATAGCGCGCTAATACTTAAGAAAAAAGACAACGTAAAAAAAATTGCGATCAAAAAAAATCTTAATGTAAAAATCTTAAAACTCACATAACTAAATAGTAAATAGTTTTTTTTTTGTAAATTTTTTTTGAAAAAATAAGAAAGAATAAAATTGTAATAGGAAGAACTCATGAAACACAAAAAAAAATATATTAGGTTTAAGTGTGAAAAGAAAAAAAAAAATTAAAAAGTGTTAATGATATGTACAAGTGATAACTATTGTTATGCCTTGGTGACAATTTCAGGGAAATCGTCAACCCAACGAATAGTAATATCTTTAATTGACGCGTTATGTAAATTTGCAAACGTCTAAGTTTAAAAAATAAAAATATTGATTAATAAAAACCTCGCAATATAAAACAAAAAAGTAACAAATTTCTTGGAGAATCTATCCTTACCTCTTCATAAGAATTATTTTTGAACGGTTTATCGAATGGATAACCCATGGGTCTGATATCAGGATATTTATCACCGGGTCTTTCAGCGCCGCAGTAACTAATGCTTCCACACCTACTCATTGTTGGTACTTTATCTTTAGACCAGTCCGAGATGAACACCAATAATTTAAATTTCAATCCATCTTTTCTTCCTCTGGGCAGCAGAAGATGGAAGGGCCAACCACAATCACAATATTTCTCGTTCAAAGATTCCACCGTTCCAGGCGGAGTTGTTGTATCGTCTAATTCATCTTCGGTCTTCTGCGGAGGTTGACGAACGATCGATGACATATCACAATCACGGCATACCACGGTTTTAGATTTGGGGGCCAAAGTTTGCTTAAACTTGTCCAGTTCAATCCAATGACGTCTCGAATGAGCTAATTCTTCTGGTGCCAAGAAAACGCGGAACGTCGCATCCAATTGGGATGAAGAAGTGTTCTCGACACGGAAATAATAATAATACTCTCGTGGGAATAAGTACTCAATCGTATCGGTCTTGCCTGAATCTTCAACCCATGTCCAATTTCTACGTTTCATTTTGGTTTGTAATTCAGTCGTTACAATTTCATTCTTTGATACATCCGCTCCAAAGTTACTCCCTCCAAATGTTTTTTCACCAAAATCGGCTGCCTGCTTGTCCTGAGTTGCTCCATGACTAATGGGAAGTTTATCTTTATATACAAGAATGATACCTTTAACATTCACAGGTGGTGCATCAGAGAAGTTATTAGGTTCTAATTTATCTTGCCACCTATTAAACAAATCATCAACATGACGGTGCCATCTCCAAAATACTGGATCACGTGCCGCGACGCGTGGACTGCTCATCACGCCTGGATCATTTCCGGCGTCGTTCGCACGACCCGGATCATTAATGTACGCAAGCAACACGTGTCCGGTGTTATGCAAAGAACCATAACGTTGTTCCATGTTTTCGTCGGAAGATTCGATGGCGGAACCCAGAATGTTATTGGTGATATCAATATTACCGGCCAACTTGCCACTATCAATAGCTTGTATAAGAGCGTTACGATACGATTCCAAATCTTCAACCGTCATTCCTTTACCCAGATTTCCAAGTTTTTTATTGGATTGACGAGTTGCATAAGGAGAATCATCACTCGAATCTACTAAATGTTCGTTAGGATTATATCCTTGTGGAATCGGTTCTCGGTAATCGTCCAAAGGCTTGATCAGAGGTATACCCAATGCTAGACGTTCAATATCGTGCCTGGCCAGCATCTGTCGATGCATGTAGATGAACAGTTCGCCATGACGATCCTTTGGGATACGGATTTTTGGATTGCTCGGATCGGGTACCCCACCACCGGGATAAACGATATGCCAATGTTCGTGATGCTCGTTGAGATTAGGATCCTCTCTGAACCAGTCCAAATACAATTCCACGTCACCTTCCAGTTGTTCGGTGAGCAGTGCGGGCGGTTTATCGGAAATGATGGGACCCGGCGTGAGTGGAACTTGAGGTTTCTTGGGAACGGTCAATTGGGGAGCGCGTTTAACCAATGAAGGAATACGTAATTGTTGATCACGAGCAGCCGGATGATGAGCAATGAAAATCATAAAAGCCCAGCGAACTAATTCGGGGTCAACGGTTTCGTTCTGTTTCTGAGCGAACTCGAGAACGTGGTCAATAGTATCTTTAGGATTGGAATTTGCGACGATCATAAATTGAGCGGCGAGTTCGGAGGCTTTCCGCGCTTGAACACTGTCAAACTATAGATCAAGAAAAGGTTCAAACATTAGTCAAATTAAAGGTTAAACATTTTGTGACAATCAAACATTTAAACTTTATTATTACATACCGGAGTGAAACCAAAGGTGTTATTGACCCGAACTTCATCTTTTCTGAAATTTTTAGGGACTTTCAAAAAGTTGGTGATAGCGTCTTGTCTCGGATGTCTTGTAACACTGGTAGACATTTTGTTGTTAAAAGAGTTGTATTAGAGTAAAAGGTTGTAGAGTTGTAAAGTAGAGGGGGAAATGTTGTTTGTAGAGCAAAAAAGCA